TTCCACGAAATATGGGATAAGTAATTTGATTATTCCATTAACATCAGCTTTGTTGTCGTACTTTTCCACGTGAATCACCACATGCACGGCTGTTCTTCAGAGTTTTGTGTCCTAAATGCTAAAAACAATGAATCATTTCTGCCGTAAGATTGAGTACGTATCCTGCTGAGTTCATGACTTACTCATCTACCTCTTACACATTTATATTTGACAATGATGTCATATCCTTGTAATATTGATTGTTTTTTTGATATGTGGAGATGAGAGCGACAGTTGTGCGTTGAGCTCACGGCGGTCATCCAAGTATCAATCAAATGAACGATGGTGGATGAACGATTTTGCCCTACGAAATAAGGAAAAAAGTTTTTTAATGGAAAAAGGCTGTGTTAAGATCGCTGACGAAATGTTGATCCAGCCTTGCAACGTTGATCAGCGGAACTAAACAGTGTAAAATTAAGAAAACGCCCTTTTTAAAATATGTGTTAGGCCCGGTTTTGTGAATTCTTAATTGCATATGTCTAGGCTTCCGCAAATTTTCCATAAAAAGCCTCTAATGAAATTCCAAATAGCTTGGCACTTGAAGCCATTTACTTTCGCGAAATCGTAGTGTACCTTCATTGTATCCATAGGAGAAATTAGCATATGAGAAAGTTTTTGTTTTAGAAAATTTCTTTAAGGCAGGATTAGATTCGATCATAAGGGGTGTGGCATAAACGGGGCTGAGTAGCGCCCATTTTGACCAGTCGACAAAACTTACTAAAAAATGCGTAAATTTTGACAAGTTTGAAATTTAATATTAATTAATAGGACTAGGTCATTTTCCTACTCTTCATCCTGCTTTATCGTAGACAACATATGTCCAGTTTATCCTCAGCTTCTTCTAAATTTGCAGATAAGCTCATCTTAGAATTTGTATTATAGGAACAGTTTGGAATGGGCACCTCCAATAATGGTAGTAGCTGTGGTAACGTTATTCGCGTCGACACTGGATTTAATGGCAGATTTTCTTGTTTGTAGTAGGTTCGTTTAAAGTGTTGATAGCAGCTCCACTTCTTCATTTATGATGAAGTAGTTTTTCTTGAATTTTTTTGCTGGTTTTCAGAAAATCTTGTCCTCTCATACTGCTCCAAGCAAATTTTTTACTTTTCAGAATTGCAGAATTCCTTGGGAACTTCCAAAGCAAAATAGCTATTGAAGCAGCTTATGGGTATTTCTTCTTCACTGGTGTCTCCATATTTGTGTACATTTTCGAAATGGTTGATGTTTGCCAAACGCTGAAATACGAGGAGGAGAACGTGTTCTTTGCTCGACTTGCGAAAAGCTTAGTTTTGGCACTTGAAGAGGTACATCTTCAGCTTCCATGCAACATGACTTACACTCACAGCTCAAAAAACGCGTCAGTCTGACTTGTTGGCATGTTCTGATTCATGACCC